ATGTTACTGGAGAGATGTGAAGTTAGATGCACTTTGTACAGCCATTCATCCCCTCTAATAAGTAGCTCAGCCCTAAAGAGAACCTAATCATTAATAGGTAGCCTGTAACTCTGGGGTTTAAATTGATTTTGTCCCATTGATTCCACAATCAAAATAAATTTAAATCTCAACCTTCTGGATTGTACTGTAGATACTCTGGGCCTACTAAGCCTCAGTTAACCAAGGTTCTGGTCACTGAGATGTACCCACATAGCTCTAGGATGACTGCTCTGAGGTAAGTTAATCTTCATTAATTTTATTTTACTTCTTTAAGCATCATATACTATTTGGACTCTAAAATTTGTAATGTGCTCCTGTTTTGGCATCCAACATTGCAATTCACATCTCTTTCCATTTTGAAACATTAGGGAACCAGTGTCTAAAAAGAGCAAAATTATATCAAGCACAAGCTCCTACTTCAGCTCAGGATAATTTACACAGCAGTTCTCCACACACTGATCTACATAATCCAGCCTGGGTGACATGGCCAGTGATTTCGGGTTGTCTTGCATATTAATTGGAATGCAAATTAATCACTGTAATCCTATTGAAGCTAACAGAAAATAATGTGGCTTATGACAGCTTTTGTCTCAGGAACTGAGGCTGGATCAACTCTTCCTTTAATTTTGGACTGACAGAGAAAAGAGAACAACACAGAGGATGGTATTCAACTGAATTTTACTCAGAGTAGACCTGTTGAAATTAAAGGACCTAATTTAGCCATGGTCATTTCATTGGGTCTACTCTGAGTAAAATCTCATTGAACACCACCCATTCTTTGCTGCAGAAGTTTATTTGTATGATCCAAGACCATTAGCAAGACTCTGCACATGGTACAAAACTACTAATGAAACTTCAAGGATTATTTTTATCTGCCCTCCTCTTTTCTTATTACTGCAGCACATTTTATTCATTTATTGTTCATTATAGACAATGAAATCCTTTATTGCTAGTGTCACTGAGCTATAGAGAAATATCATGTATTAGTTTTCTCTATGCTCCAAGAATATATTTTGATAGCTTAATCAGAGAGAAAAGAAATCTATGAGTTCAGAGCACCACTTATGTTCACAATTTTTTAAAAAAACAAATCTTGGTGTTTCTTTTGCTAGCAGCATCCACAATATTAGAAGAGGTCTCTGCAAATAATGTTAACCATGGCCTTTATTTTATTCTTTTTATTCAAAGAAGCATGAATAATAAATGACATAGTCATGGATTTCCTGCCACTCAGAAAGCTAATGCTGTTGGGTCATTTCAGGTAGCAGAAGGCGAAGGGGCTAACTACATCTTTTGCACAAATGCATTGTTAGAGAGGTACCATAGATCAGTCTTTTCCAAACTAGTGGCCTCCAGAAGTTTTGGACTAGAACTCCTATCTATAAATACCGTTCCCTGTTCTGGTAGCTTTCTACTTGGATTACTGCAGTCGGGTTGCCTTTCAAGGCCATTTGGAAGGTTCAGTCAGTGCAGTATGCGGCACTGACACAGTCCCCTTTCCATCCATCACACCAGTCTTAAGAGTGCTTCATTGGTTACCTTAATTCTACCTTAGATCAATCACCCGAGAAATTCATTGGCCTGGGAGCAAAGGAAGGTCTTGATGTGGTGCCCAAAACATGGCGATGTCAACACTAGGCAGACCTCCCTAGGGAGAGCATTCCACAATTGAGGGAGCACTACAAAGGTTTTCTCTTGTGGCCACTCTCTGCATCTCTACCACAAGGGTCACTTGGAGGTGGGCCTTCAAAAATATGAGAGGGTTCGTACTGGGAGACATATTAGGGTTCCAAGCTTTATAAAGTTTTACAGGTCTAAACCAGCATTTTGAATTCATTTGGTGATGAGTTCCAGAGCTGTGGGGCCACCACAGAACAGGTCTTTTGCACATACCTGTACTCAAAGTTTAGTTATGGGTAAATGGCTTTCTTCATACTATGTCAGAGAAGAACACTTTAAACACCAGAGCTGTAAATTCTCTCTGTGTACATCCATTGGGTTGACCACAAATGGAACTTGGCTCCCTGAGAATCTTAGCTTTCAGTTTCTTAAAATAAATATGAGTTTCTAGCTCTCATGATATGGGAAAAAATCCCAGAAGGAAGGTCTGGTGAAATTTGAAATGAGTTTAGCAGAGCAACTCTTTTAAAAGTGCTTAGGAGTAGAGTATGGCTGCTTTGGCTCTCTGCATGACCCTCTTTCCCTTCATTTCTCAAGTATTTTTTAAATCATTGTGGAAAACTTTCTGGGAAATAAATTAATTAGGTAAGACATTAACATGAATGTGAAAGTGTGCATTTTGCTCTGCTTGCTGATGTTCTGCTTCTTCTCACAAGATCTGAGTTTCTTTCTTCAGCAGAAACCCTTTTTTATTTTGGCACAGAGCACACACAGCCCTTTATATGCTGAGTTGTAACATTACTGCTGCCATTTTATTGCTCAGTTGCCCTTTCAGGTTATGAACTAAACAAAACAGGAAAAGGTCTAATTAAAACTATTACAGTTTACATTGTCCTCCCAACTTGGGGGGGGGGGGGGAGAGAAAAAACTCTAGCTCAAAAAGCCAGTTAAGGTTATTCAAGTGCATCAGCCCTCATCAAAACAATTAAGAGACAGGAAATCAATACTTAAGTCCTAAGCCTGCTTACCTCCATGATAATGTCTTTACTAAATTACTTCAGCCACATTCATTATATAGTCCTGCAAATGTGTTTCATTTCCTCAGTGGTCCATAGGAGCAAGGTTAAGTTTTTTTCATTGGTTTTGATGATCCTTGTGTGGCCGTTGTGATAATACTGGACATTTGGGGGGCTGAGTCACAGCACATTTAAAACCTATAGGAGTCTTCCCATTAACTTTGATTGTTTTTATGGCCAATTCATGAACATATGAACAGAAATGCCAAGGAAGGTGACTGCGAAGGGTATTTTCACACAGCCAAAATAAACTGGATTAAGTCAACATGAAGTCATATTTTATCCCATGAGTGTATTTGCTATGCCATAGCAAATATGACAAGTTAGCAATCAAACAGGAGACGGGTGTGCTATTGCCTCATATTTCCAAGGCCTGCCATCATTAGCCATACAGTTGGCAGCAGACTTAAGGCAGGGGAAAAAGGGGAGCGCTTCATTACACAGTGGAGTGGTTCTCACTTCTAGACTCCTCTACACAATCATACACAACAGTGTGGAGAGATGTCAGTGTGAACCGAACTGGCAAACCATGTGTGTGATTGCAGCTGCACTTTTCTCAACAACTTCAACCATGGAAATGGCTGCTGTGCTAGGACCACACACTGCACAATTGTTTAGAGAAATTTAGCCGTGTCAATGAATACAGAATCCGTTGCCTTAGAATACTGGGGAAACTGCCACCATCAGTTTTGAAGTACTAGATAATAAATACTCACAGGATGGTTAGGTCTACAGGAGAGATTCAGTTCATTTCAAGGTGAATCCGCATTTCCTGAAACAATGCACAAACTCAAAGGCAACTGTCCTTGAAAATTCACATTTCTCTAAATATTGCAGTACGGTTCTGCAGCCAAACAAATGAGTAAAAAATGTGAGTATTAGGGGAAAGTGTGCACTAAATGCATATGTTTGGGAAAATAGCATAGAAGAAAATATGTTATATTAGGGAAATTTGCATACCAAAATATGTATATTAGGAAAAATTCACACTAAAATGCTTGGGGAAATCCTTTACTTTCCCCCCTTGAAAACCGATGCAGAAATGTGAAGTGAATTTACAATTAGAAAAGTGAGAAACTGAAAGAAACTGAAATTGGCAGATTCCCCCATCCCTACTGGTGGCCTACAAGACCTATCACTATCAGGGCATGTTCAAAGGCACTAAACCTCTAGCTGCTTTCATGTGAAGGTTGATTTCCATAGTGATGACTGCTTGGGAACTTGCCAGGCTAGATGAACCATTTTTCTGTCTGTTTCAATTTTCATCCAAACCAGAATTTGTCAATGTTATTTCACTTACATTTTCACCTCTACTTGCTGTAGGTCGTGGAACAAAATCTGCTCTGAACAAGACTTGAACTACTTCCACTATAATGTTAGTAGATACGTGTGTATACTCAGAGAAGTATTTCAATTTGTAATGTGGATGTGTGCAGTACCTTAGTTATCCCCATTTTCACATTGAGTTTTCCAGCTGGAAGATGGGTAGATAAATATGTAAATAGTTGTTTAGGACCCACGCATTGCATAGTTGCGGATGTACTTATTTTAAGAAAATACAGTAATTATGGACTTGGACCAATCTGGGACAAGGTTTTGGTGCATGGAAACAGAGCGACAGAAGTGTAGGAATGTGAGGGAAATGAATTTACATAATTCCACAACCTCCATCAATTCAGGGACATTTTACCCTAAATATTCCCACTCAGTATTTGTCCAAAACAATCAGGCACAGTTTCAATGCCACTTACCATTTTTATTATTTTAACTCTTAGCCAAAATTGGGATGATAACTGCCACCACTTTAGAGTCATCTAAGAATGTGCAGCACAAACTTGTGGGTTAAGAGCAGTGGGGGTGCTGGACAAATCAATGTGAATATTATAATCTAGGGGTCTGAATATTTAACTTTTTAGATCTGGTAGGTTGAGAGAAAACAATAAAACTTTTAGAAAATTAGTTATCAGTTTATTTTTTAGTTTATTTTTTAAATTTGTTTGCTTATTTTGATTTAATCAAAAGAACAAGCCCCCATCATGCTTCACTTTGTGTGTTTATCATACATTTGGCTCACCTCTTTCATGGAGGATAAGGCCATTCATGACTATTACTTATGATAGCTCTCTAATTCTTTCATTATCGGAGAATATCAGTGGCTGAGGAACCTGGGCACTCATATCCTGCTTGCAAGCTTCCCTTAGGTATCCTGGTGGCCATTGCAGGAACCCAATTCTGCACTAGATGGTCCTTTAGTCTGATCCAGAAGCCCTCTTCTATTTATATTCTCCTGCCTTGGCTGCTTAACATCAAATGTTGACCTGCTAGGAGACAAAATTTGTTGTAATACATTGATTCTCTCTTACGTTTTTGTTGAGTTAGAATTCCAGCACTGACTACTTGTTTTAAGGGGGCGGGGCATCTTCTGCATTTTTCCTGATTATGTACAGTAGTTCCTGTGGGTATATATTCAGAATCACCCAAGATTTGCTGCCTCCTTGACACTACTACTATTGACACTCCTATTGTCCATGCTCAGATGAACTTCTACATTGCTGCTTTTTGCAAATCAGTGTTATCATCCTTGGTGACTCCATAAACTTGTTCAAAGCTTACCCTACTTTGTTACTCTATTAATAGCTCAGAGTACTTTCACTGGCATCAACTTTTTGATGTTTATTCCCTAATCAGTAGTTTGACTTCCTGAAGCACCATCCTTTGACCCTTGGAGCCAAAGCCTATCTGTTTTTGCCATCTGTTCACTTTTGAGCTGCATTTCATCTCGCTTGGATCTTTTCCTTCTACATGAGGGGATGACAAGCACAACACCTGGATCCCTAAATCTTTCACTGTTGTAGATAAATCTTAGTAATCATCTTCAACCTGACATTCAACAAGAATCAACAAAAAATGGAAAAGGCATTTTTTTCATTTTGTTTTTCCAGTGACATGATCACAAGAAAATACCCCCCCCCCAAACTTCATATTTGCCAAGACGAAAGCCATTGACAATGAGCAATAAAGAACTCTGAGGGGGAAAATATATATCTGGTTTTCTTGTTATATGTTTTCTTGTTCTTATTACATGATTAAATAATATTATTTTTCATTGAATATGTAATGGTTTTTAATATTCTTTATATATGAAATTATTCAACTGCTTTTATATATGCAATTGTTTTTTTATATAATAATAAATATTTCTATGAATGTTTAACTGAAAAACAGTTCTCGCAGTTTATAAGGTAAGCTACTATACTAGAGGAAGCCCTTAAAAATGAGCAGTTGGCAGCAAGGAGATGTGTTTGTATACCATAATGGGCACACAGGAACACCTACCTGTGAATAAAATTTTAATGAGGTAAGTTATCCAATGTGCCAGATGTCGTTGACCACAAATGAGTATTTTCTGTCTCATACTAAAATGGATGTTTTCTCTCAAGGCAATACAAGGAGTCTCAAGTCACAATTTTAATACCAGTACTTATTCTCTTTGGAATGCAGACACTCAGTTTTTTCTACCTTTCTGAAAAAGCAAATGGAGATAGTTTATTGCAAGGTTTAGTATGAGTAAAACACACACACACACACACACACACACACACACACACTTAAAAAAGCTTCATTGTTTTAAAATAGTGGCAATTTAATATTTTACACTGCTTCCAGCTTTTTAAGCTTACTTTAAACTTTTAAACTGTTCAAATATCGACTCTTGCATAAGTAATTATGTATCAGGCCTTGCTGTGAAATAATTAGTGTTCCTTTAATCTATATATGACACATTTGTGATTCCCAAAGTCTACCAGGGCAATCGGAACACCTGCTATCTATTTATCGTTACCTCTCATAACAAATCCAGTTTGGGAGCCAAAGTGGGCCACCCAAAATTAAGAGAGCAAGTAGTTTCCACCTACGTATTGAGGGGGTGGGGGTTCAAAGGTATGCAGAAGTTGCAAATTAAAATAAGTTTTCTTCCCCCAAACTCCCAAAGCAGTCTGACCAAAAACGTAAGAGCCCTGCTGAAACAGACCAAAGGCCTATCGAGTCCAGCAACTGCTAGGAAATGCTTTTAGGGTACAGTCTTATGGTCAATGGAAGGTTGTCCCAGAGCCATAAGATTTTGCAGAACTCCGTCCTCATTGGTGGAGGAGATCTACCCTTGGAGGCTGCATGGAAAGAACTGCTGCCATTGTTCCTTCACAGTGGCTGCTTCCCAGGGGAGGCAGGGTGGGGTGGTGATATTGCAGAGGCAGATCAGGAATGGCTTTAGATCCAGTGAACCCAACTCTCCTGTTCCCCTGAATCAGGGTAGAAAGTACATTGGCCCAGGGGCTTGCCTACTTATTTCCCTTCCTGTTAGGACCAATGCAAAGGAATTGCGGGGGGTGAGGAGACACTGATGGAAGGAAAATACACCCCCCTACAACACATTCTGTCTTACAAGTATAAGTTTAGCAAAGCTTTGGATTTGAGATTTCAACTGCCTTCAAGTTGTCCCCCCCCCCCATCTAGTAATGGTCTGTTGCTGAGACCATGGCAAATGGGCATTTTATGGCATGCTAGCCCACAAATATTTTGTCTGGAGTATGTACATGGAGGCTGATCAGTGATAATCCTGTACAAAATATTCCCTTTCCATTGCAAATCTGCCTGCCAAAGCTTCAGCAGAAACCTGTTGCATGAAACCAGCCTTTTAGCACTATACTACAAGAAACTTACAATATGGTGTGTTATTCAATTTGATTTAAAGCCTTCTACCTTAAACCCTTGCAACAAACACATAGCTCTCCTAATTCTTCTTGCTGTTTGTTATTATTATTAAAAACACTTTAAACAATTTCAGCCATGAAAACATTAGATTGGAGAAGTTGGTTGAGAGTCTAACCTTTATTTCCGTGAGTTCCAAGCATTCTGGAGATGATCCCTGGGTAAATGCCATTCTGATTCTATTAAGGTTAAATTTCAAACAGACAGCAAAGGGCAAGACGAGAGCGGAAAGTAATTACAGAGAACAGTGCACATCTGCTTTCCAATGCCTGTTCAAAGTCACCAGCACCAGCACCAAATGGGTTGAAGCTGTGCTCAAGTCCATGAGTGTCAGGTCCTGTTAAACAACAATATAAGCCAGCTTTGAAAATGAAGAGCTGGGAGCATGGGAACATTAGAGTTCACATGTTAAAGAAAGAGTATTATTCTCTTATTTGAAAAATAGATATCGTTAATTATATTATGGGTGCCTATATATTTTCAGAATCCAGACATGTATCATTTAGAATTGCTAGAAAGGCAACGAATGAAGATCATGTTCATGCTTTGGAGAAACTCAAAATTGCAAGGGAGGGAATTAGTAGTAGTAGAAGTAGTAGTAGCAGCAGCAGTAGTACTATTAGTATTATCCATACAATGTCATGACAATGTCATGTGCTTGACAGTTGGTTTCCCTGCCCAGCCATCAAAGTTGGTCCATGGAGTGCGGTTAGATAAAGAGCTGGTCCCCAGAGCCAAAAATTTACCACACACTTGCTTTACAGGAATATAATTTGTAAATGTGACTGTTATGAAAATTATAAAGTCTAAGATATAAAATAAATGTTCATAAATGTACCAGGCAAACAAACACATAAATATATAAACCACAGGTCTGAAACAGTACAGGAAAATAATCCTGAAGCCATTTTGACTCCCAAATTGACCTCAAATGTTTCTCTGCAAGGAGGAAGGAAATGGGAAAACCTCACCATTGTCTCTGCTCACAAATCCTGTCTTAAGGGCGTATCTGTGTATGAATAGGGTGAGCCTGTGACCTGGATTCAGGAACTGAGTATTTACCATCACAAACAAATAGCCAGACTGCTCAGGTAATGAAATCAGTGACCATATCAGGTACCCTGGCAAACAGGATTTCTGTTGTAGACCGCCTCCTCTGCTGTTGACCACCTCCTTCTGTGATGTATGTATGATGTTTCGAGGGGGGGTTCCCCAGAATACACAACTGGGGGAGAAATGTTGTTGTCCAACAACATCTTAAGGACCCCAGGTTCTCCATCCCTGTAGATGGACAGCAGCCCTCCCAGGAAGGAGTTGTCAACTCTGTTTCTTCACCACGGAACATTTTGCAATCTATATTCTCACTTTGTTCTTCTCCCTTCCTTCTCACTTTGTTCTTCTCCCTTAATCTCCTCAGGCTCACAATTATACCATGCAGGGTGCTTAAAAACAAAACAAAAACCCCAACACATACATTTTATTGTTCAGACAGAACAGGTGCCTGACTATTACTGCCCTGTGTCTGTCACCTCCTGTTTAACCAGCAGGGGAAACAGTAAAACAGTAAAGGGCCGCGCTCTACAAAAAACAAGAAAGAACCTAATGGAACAAGGGAAAAGAGGTCTATTTGGAAATACCTGGTTAGCATAAAGGCACAATCAGAATGAACCCTGGCAATAAAATGCCACGAAAACGCTTCCCAATAAATCTTAATGAGAGATTTCCCAGGTGGTTTGCAGTCAGATTGCTGATTGTTACTTAATTAGTACAGGTGCTGTCTGCGTAGGGAAGCTGTAGAGGACAAACGGCTGCCAAGCAGACAACAAGCTCAAAGGCAGGCAGCTCCAAATTGGAAACAAAATACGCTTGGCTGCGTGATAGGCTGCTGGAGAGAACCTAGCTGGTGGTGAAAAGAAACAGTTGGAAATTTTGATATAAAAAGAAAAGCTTAAACCATTTTAGAAGCACTTTTTACCAGCTCTGATTGGTGTGAGAGCTATGACCGGGAACTTGGCCACAGTAGTTCAGGCAATGGTGTGGCATCTCTTACTATTTGTATATCGTTCCCTTAACAGTTTGTGATCAGATTACTTGAGAAATAGCCTTACCCCATCTATGCCCACTTAATCACTTTGATTTAAGGAGCCAGCACTGCTACAGATGCTGCATAATACTCGTTCTACATTTGTTAGGAATTGATATTTATTATGGCAGCATCCACACTTTCGAACTTCCTGCCTATTGACATCAGGCAAGCATCTTCACCGTACTCTTTTAACCTCTTGCTTAAAACATTTTTGTTTAGGCAAGCCTATCCAAACATGTAGAATGCTGGCATGTGTTTCAATCTGGTTTTTAGCTTATTGTTGATTTTTCAAATGTTTTAAACTGTTTTTCTTTTACTGATAATTTTTTTAATTCTTTTTGTTTTTTTTAATTCCTTTTTGAGGTTTTATTATAAGTGGTATATAAAACTTGTAACATTAATTCATTAGTTAATCATCTTTTTCCCAGATGCTATCAACAGCATAGTTTGTCAATCGAAGCATAATTCTCCTTACACCCAACACCATTGGCTCTCTAGGTTCTCTAACCCATCTGAGCTGTGCTTTATTTATGGCAGAAAATAGAGGTGGTCCGTGAAATACACAAGCCCTCATTTCTGCAACCCTCCAATTTTAACCAAATTACATCTCACCTATGACCTCCCCTAAATAGCATCTAAGGAGGCAATCAGATTAATCTGGCAGCAGTCAGATTACTGGCTGGAGTTCCCTTTAGAACCCACAAAACCGGTTTTAAAACAGCAGCACCGGTTGCCAGTTCATTTCCTGGCCCATTTCTAAGTGCTCACGTCAGTGTTTGAAGCCCTTGATCACTCAGGTCCCAAATATATGAAATAAAGCATCCTTCTCTACAGTCCCCTTTGAACACTAAGATCAACAGAGGTTGGGAGGGAGCTCTTGGTAGTTCCGCCATCCTTAAAAGCTCACGGTAGTGATAGCCCAGAACATGGCATTCTTTGTGATAGTCTCTAAGTTGTGGAGTTTGGTCCCCATAGAGGTGCACCTGACACCTTCATATACAGCAGAGACTGATTAAGATGCTTCACTTTGCCCTGGCCTTTGATACCCAAGATGTGTATTTTAGGACCCGCCCTACCATTGGCTATGCTGGCTCTCATAATTTTTAATCACGCAGCCTTCAAATCATTTCCAACAATAACATCATATGACTTTTCCCCTTTTGGGCACCAAGTGTGTGTGGGGGGGGACCCTCAAAAGTCAAATATATACATCTCCTCCACATATGTTACCTAGCTCCTAAACAACTCCTTTGTTAGAGCTGTCTGTTGCATAGGTTTGAAACTCACCCAGTGCTACACAAGGTTTATTCTGAACCACATGCTTCATTAGCATTGTCCACACACTTTCCATTGTTTTTATGCGAGGTGCAAGAGGTAATTACCGCTTTTTGCAGGAAATGCAGCCATGGGCATTGCCATAAATATTCAGACCTCTTAAGGCCATGGGCATTGGCATGCATAGGGAGTGTTCCCAAGAGACAGCTATTTCTCAAATCAGAGTTTCTTGCCATCGCAATGGATTTAAGAGTGAGCTGATGAAGCATTTTGCAACATTTATCTTCTTGTCTATTCAAAAAGGCACAAAAGCAAACTTTAAATTTAAATACACATTTTTGCCCATTAAAGGAAATAAGTATATGATACCCTCCTTCAAGCTCCCACTGTAAGTATGGGTTTGGGGGTTCTTTCAGTAACAACATACGTCTTATATTTTTTTTAGTCTTGTCTTTCCACTCTGAATGCAGATCATGTATTAACACTAGCAACATACACACTGCAATAAAATAAGTAAAACAAGCACAGAACCAACAAAACAGAGACATTTAATAAATCAACACTTTAGAGGGATTAGCAAAGGCTACCTGAAACAGAAAGATCTTCAGCCTATGGAGGGAGAGGGCTGTTGTGCTCCTGTCCTGCTTGAGGACTTCCTAGTTGGCCGCTGTGAGAACAGGATGATGGACTGTGTTGCTGTTTAGCCGTTTAGTCGTGTCCGACTCTTCGTGACCCCATGGACCAGAGCACGCCAGGCACTCCTGTCTTCCACTGCCTCCCACAGTTTGGTCAAACTCATGTTTGTAGCTTCGAGAACACCGTCCAACCATCTCGTCCTCTGTCGTCCCCTTCTCCTTGTGCCCTCCATCTTTCCCAACATCAGGGTCTTTTCCAGGGAGTCTTCTCTTCTCATGAGGTGGCCAAAGTATTGGAGCCTCAGCTTCAGGATCTGTCCTTCCAGTGAGCACCCAGGGCTGATTTCCTTCAGAATGGATAGGTTTGATCTTCTTGCAGTCCATGGGACTCTCAAGAGTCTCCTCCAGCACCAATGATGGACTAGATAGGTCTTTGGTCTGATCCAGCAGGGCTCTTCTTGTGTCCTTAAGAATGACAGAAAGGGGATAAATAGATCTCCCAGGGCAAGCAAGGAACTCCATATTCTAGATGCCACCACCAAAAAGGCCCTTTCTTGTTTTTCTACCAGCTAAGCTTCAGAAGTGGGTGGGACATGCAAGAAAGCCTCTCCTGCTGACCTCAGTGGTTGGGATGGATTGGGATGGATAATGTGCAAGGAAATCTTTTAAATTGCCTGATTCCAAGGCATGTAGGGCTTTAAAGATGATTCATAAAGATGATTTTTTTTGGTTCAGGGTCTTCTTCAGAAATGAATGCCAAAAAAAGAGAGACCATAATTCTACTAATTCCCCCAAGTCAGCCCACAAGCTTTTGGAATGGTTGTTTTAATTATTCATGTTAAGAATGCAATAGTGCAGGAGGATTAGAAGTACAGCACCCAGAAGGCCGTTTGTTACATAAAGCGGTGGCAGCTGTGATGAGATAGAAGTACAATGGAGGCTCATATCACTGCTTAGTTGCCTGATCACAGTGTTAGCTGCCAGGGCATGGAGTTTAAATTGAGAGCCAAAAGGTTGATTGTGATGTTGATGCCTGTAGGATGGACTCTACAGAGAGATGTGCCGGGGTGATGATGTCTCTCATTACTGATGACTTTCAAGTGAGGCAGAACTATCATCTTCCTGCAGAAGTGACCCGCTAATTATATTAGTAACAGAAATTAAAGAGGACTTTTTAACACGAACAGCAATAACTGGCAAAGCTGCAGCGACAAGAACAGAATGGATATGACTTCTGCTGCCCTGCTGTAATGAAGACCTGTGCTGACTTTAGGCTATGCACATAACTAACACTATAACAGCTTTCTGTGACTTTT